TTATATGCCTAGAATAATAAATAAAATAAATCTGTATCTATTAAGATAGATTGTGAGTTTGGGATTGACAGATACATATCGCTATATGTAAAATAGTTAAACAACAAGGATCTGCTGTATAGCTTAGGGAACTATATTCAATTTCTTGTAATGAGCTGTAATGGAAAAGAATCTGAAAATACATACATATATATAATATGTATGTATGTATATGTATAACTGAATCACTTTGCTGTATACCTGAAACTAACATTGTGAACTGACTAAACTTCAATAAAAAAGAAGAATTTTTTAAAAATCCATATCTAGGTACAGCAAAGTGAAACTCTAGGATACCAAAGACAAAGACAAACCTTTAAAAAGAGCCAGAGCCTTTGCTACAAGTTGTGCTGGAACAAGTGGATATCCTCAACCTACATATTACATCTTCTCAAAAATTAACTCAAATTGGGTTACAGATTTAAATTTTAAATCTATAAAGCTTTTAGAAAAAGTAGGAGAAAAACTTCAGGGTCTAGGGCTAGACAATTCTTATTCTCAACACCCAAAGCATGGTCCATAAAAGGAAAAAATTGATAAACTGAACTTTAATAAAATTAAAATATTTTGTTCTGCAGAGACTTGATTAAGAGAATGAAAAGACAAGCTACACACTGGGAGAAAATATTTGCAAACACATATCCAACAAAGAACTAGTATCTAGAACATATAAAGAACTCTCAAAACTCAAAAGTAAAAAAAAATCCAACTAAAAACAGGCAAAAAACATGAAAAGACATTTCACCAAACAGGATATATGAAGATGGCAAAATGTGTACATGAAAAGATGTTCAACAGCATTAGTAATTAGGGTAATGAAAATTAAAACCACGATGAGCTATCGCTATACGTAAACCAGATGGCTAAAATAAAACAGTGAAAACACACACTGGCAAGGATGCAGAGAAGCTGAATCACCCATTCATTGCTGGTGGGAATGTACAATAGAATGACCACTCTGGAAATCAGTTCAGCAGTTTCTGAAAAATCTAAACTTGCAATTGCCACATGATTCAGCAACTGTACTCCTGGGTATTTACCCAAGAGAAATGGAGATTCATGTTCACACAAAAACAATAGCAGCTTTATCCATTATAGCCCCAAACTAAGAACAACCCACATGTGCTTCAACAGGTGGATGGTTAACTGTTGTACATCCATAGGGCGAACTACTACTAGCAGTAGAAACAAACTAACTGCTGATACATGCAATAACCTTGTAAAAGTCTCCAGAGAATTAAGCTGAGTGACAAAGAAGCCGATCACAAAAGGCTGTGTGATTACATTTATATAAAATTCGCAACATAGTAAAATTACAGAAACTAAAAACGGATTAACTGGTTGCCAGAGGTTAAGGAGGGAATAGGAGAGGCAGGGCAGTGGGTGTGGCTATAAAAGGGCAACTGGAGGGACCCTTTAGTAAAGGGAATGCTGTCTTCACGTGTTGGTGTCGATATTCCGATTGTGATGCTGAACAACAGTTTTACAAGATGTTACCACTGGGAGGAGCTGAATGAAGGGTACACAGATCTCTGTTTTATTTCTTACAACTGCATGTGAATCTACAATTATTTCCAAAATGAAAAGTTTAATTAATAACAACAAATATGACAATGTTAAAGCATTTTTTTAGAAATGGTTGAAAATGCTTCTGAAATGTAATTATCACCCATTTGAAGTGCCCATTATAAGACATTCCTTTTAGAAGCTTTGAAATGTTACAATGTACGCTTACGTAGACACAATCTTCTGTCTCAGTATAGAGGCACTGACTTCAACAAAATCTATTTATTAAAAAAGAAGAAGAAACAACAAAAAAGCAACCAGAAAGAAAAGACACATTACCTCCAAAGAAATGGTATTTGCAATAATAATGGGCTTCTCCACAGCAATAAAAAAATCAAGATAGTAGAGTGCTGAGGAAAAAAAAGTATTCACTTAGAATTGTGTATGCAGAAAATCAACTTTAAAGAACATAGGTGAATTAAAGGCATTTTTGATAAATAAAAACTAAGGGTTCACCGTCAACAGACTGTCACTAAAGAAATATCAAAGGTTCTGTTTTGGGAAAAAGGAAAATTATCCTATGTGGAATATCTGACATGCAAAAAGAATGGGTAAATCTAACAATTATCTGTATAAAAACAGTAACAATAAGGTCTAATTTGTAAGGTTAAAAATCACAAGCTAAGACTAAAATACTGAAGGATTATAGCACAAAATTTGGAAAAGGGGTGATTTAAACTTAAAGATTTCCAAGACCTTCAATGACAGAGGAAGGTGAAGATATTATCATTATATTTTCAGTATGAATGGTAAATTTCAAAGGCAATTCACCAAAACAATGAAGATGGGGGAAGGGGGTAAATTTTTTTAATGTTTTAAATTAATCCAAAAGAAAATGAAGGGAAAACAAACAAACATACAGCACAAAATACAGTGGTAGGAATAAATCTAAATATACCAGTAAGCAATCAGGACAAAACTCATTGGTTAAGGTTAAGATCAGATTAAAAATAATCCATTTTGTTACATGCTATTTCTGAGACACATTGTAACATAAGGACCAAGTAAGATAAAATTTAAAAGGCAGTAAAAAATCTACTAGATATACTATGAGCATCCTCATGTCAATAAAGGAAAAAATGTAACAAAAATGACTAAACTCTTGAGAGAAACAGAAACAGAAATCTAATCATTAGTTAAATTTTCTTACAAAGAAATACAAAGGTCAATTTTACAGGCACACTGTATCCAATATTCAAGAAGTAGACACTTTTAAATATTTCTCTTCTATTTCTATAGGAAAAAAAAGAAATCACTAACTTACTCTATAACATGGACATTAAATCCAGACAAAGGTAAGATTAAAAAAGGAAAATTATAGGCCAATTTTATCACTGTATGAGAAATTTTAGCCAGGAAGCACTGTAGGAACACCACCATCGAAATAAGTATATACTTTTTCTTAAAAATTATTTTAAAAAAAAGAATGGGGATAGGAAATAAAAGTCATCATTATTTGAAGTTATCATTGTCCACATGAAAGACCCAAGAAAACCCTATGAATTTTAAATCTAAGACTTTAGCAAAATGGCTCCATATAAGAGCAGTAATCAAAAATGTAACTCCTTAGGTGAGCAAATAGAAAAAATATTTTTAAAGATATCATTTACAGTAGCATAAAAGATAAACAAGTAAATCTAACAAAAGATGCTCAAAAGCTTTATAAGGAAAATTCAAAGAATGGAGGGATACGCTATCTTTATGAACAGAATGATTCAAAATTACGAAGATATTGGTTCCACAAAGTAATCTACTGTTTGAATGCAATGGAGTTGAAGTCCCAACAGAATTCTTTAGGAAGCTTAACAAGTTGGTTCCAAAATTGTACAGAAAAAAGGGCCAAGGCATTCTTAATGAAACAAATTGAGGGAACTTGCTTAACTATCAAGACTTTCTCTAGCCAAAGAAATGTAGATGTTTGATACTGATACTGGAAAAAACAATAAACCAACAGAACAGAGAGCCCAGGAAACAAAACCCATATATATAAACCTGTATGACAGATCAATAGGAGAAAGATGAACCATTCATAATAAGTTCTAGACAACTGGTGAAAAAAAAAGTGAATTTGAATCCCTATTATCACACCATACACATACACACAGTATGGATTAAAATTAAATGTAAAAAAAAAAGTTTTTAACTTTTAGAATATAGGCAAATACCTTTATTAAGGATTTCTTAAACAAAATACAAAAAGCACAAAACACACAGGAAAAGGCTAATAAATTTGACATTTAACTTAAAAATTTCTACCTAAAATGCATAAGCTAATTTTAATCAAACATCTAGACTTAACTTACAGTTTATAGGAAATAGGATAGAGGACACGATGAAGATACCATCAAATAATTCTAGAATGTGCATTATTCTACAAAACAATTGGCCTGAACTCATCAAGAAGTGAATTAAAAAAAAGGGTGGTTAGGGTGGGTGGATGGGTAGGAAACTCTTTTAGATTAAGAGAATAAAATGGCAAAAATAACATGCAAAACATGAGCTTTGGTTGAGTGTGGGTTTAAAGACCAGCCAACACCTAAAAATGATATCATTGGAACAATGGGAGAAATTTGCATATATATTAAATATCATGGGATTATTGTTCAGTTTTTTTTCAGTGTGATAATAGTATCATGGTAATACAGGACACTTGCTTTTTGGAAAATGTATGATGAAATGCTGAAAGATGAAATATCATGATGTTTTCAATTTATTTTCAATTTGCTCAATGACCAAATGTTATTAACTGTTAAATCTGGTTGGAACATATATGGATGTTCATTGTTTTGCGTGTTTCTATATATGCATGAATTTTTCATATTAAAAAGCTGGAGAATTTAAAACTTGTGCTCTTTCAAGGGCATCAATAGGTAAAAAAAAGAAACCACAAACTGAGAGATGTTTGCAACATCTAATAGTAAAAATGGACTAGTATTCACAATCCATTTTTTAAAAAATCACTCCTTAAAGACATCTTTAAGAAAAAAACATAATATCAAATGGGCAAAAGACATGGAATAAGCTTTTCACAGAGCAATCAGGAATGAATATATATGAAAAACAGCTCAACCTTGTTAGCATTTATGAAACACAAATTCAAACAATGAGACTTCCATTCCAGCAGGACTTATCTTCCTCATATTAAACAACTAAACACCTGTACAAAATATATACAACAAAGTTTTTCAGATATTGGACACCTGTGAAGGGACAGTGACTCTTGAGAGAACAAAGCAGGGCAGTCTGACAGCTGCCGGGCTCACTGCGGGGAGAGCCGGGGAGTTTCCTGGCAGAGAATTCAGGGGGGCCAAGGTACAGTCTGTAGGGCAGAGTACTGGAGACAGGAGGGAACTACAGAGGGAAAGTTCCAGATCTACAGAGGGTTCCCCTGAGTCTTTGACTAATCAGTGTATGCACTTGAGAAAACCACCCAAAGGTGGGAAAGAACCACCAGAAAAGAAGAGGTGGTACAATTCAAGTTCATACAGGGCTCAGAACAGCTCTTGTTCCTAAAGCCAGCGTGGAGAAATCTCATAATAAACCAGGCACAGGGAAGATTATTCAGAAGGGTATTATCTCAGTCGTGGGCCAAAATAGCACTAGACTAAAAGCTGTTCTGGTCCTATCCCAGTAAACTTAAAAGCAAACCACGGGAAGGATCAAACTGTTTCTAAATAACTTAATCATGCCCCAGAACAAAGCTCAACATATTTAAAGGAATACAAAAAACCCCAGCACCTAACAATGAAAAAATCCAAAAATTACCAGGCATGCAAAGGAAATTATAACCCAATAATGAGGGAAAAATCAATCAATATAAACTGACAAGAAATGACACAGATACAGAATGGTCAAGTACATTAAAACAGCAATTATAAATATACTTCAGAAATTCAAAAAAAAAAAGAAAAAAAGAGGAAAGCATGAGCCTGTGACAGAGAGACAATGGAAGATACAAAGAAAAACCCCAGTGGAACCTCTGAAGTTTAAAAATGTAATTTATGAGGTGAAAAATACACTGGATGGGATTAACAAGAGAGTAAATACTTCAGGAGACTAGATTAAGGAACTTGACATAGCAATGGACACTACACAACCTGAAACACAGAGGAAAAGAAAAAAAAAAGAACTTAGAAAAAAAAAAGAAGCATCAAAGTGCTGTGAGACAATTTCAAGTAGCCTAACATACAACTGCAGTCCCAGAGGGAAAGAAGTGAAAGGAGGACAGAGACAGGAAAAAAAAAGGAAAAGAAAAAAAGAAAATAATAGCCCTAAAATACCAAATTTGATGAAAACCATAAACCCACCCCCAGCAGAAGAAACATGGAGGGAGGTGGAGGAGAAATCCTACACCAAGCACACCATAAAGTACTTGGCAGCAGCAATCAAGAGAAACCTTAAAAGCAAACAGAGAAAAAGAACAAGAAGAGTTTCCTACAAAACAAACACAAGAATAATAGCAGTCTTCTTGCTGGAAACGACAATTAAGATAACACTTAACAGCCATTGGATTGACAAAATTTAAAAGTCTGAAATTAAAAAGTGTTAGAAATGATGTAAGACAAAGGTAATTCATACAGTGCCTGTAGGGGTATAAGCTGGGATAGCCACTGGAGAATGTTATTTGGCCTTATCTTACACAGATGAAGATCAGTATCACATGACCAAGAGAATCACTCCTAAATATACAATGTTCATAGCAGCACTGTTTGCAACAGCAAAAATGAAAACAAACCCCAAACATGCAGCAACAGAGGAATGGATAAATTACGCTCTATTCATATAACACAATACGGCAGTACAAATGAATGACTTTCAAAACGCATTAGGTTGAAAAAAGCAATTCACAGAAGTAAACATACATTACACCATGTATAAAATATTCAAAAACATACAAAACTTAACATTTCACTTAGGAATACATACATATGTGGTAAAACTGTAATAACAAGCAAGAGAATGACAAACACAAAATTCAGAGTAATTACTTGAAGAGGCAAGGGCACTTTTAAAGTGCCAGTAATAATCATTTCCTAAGCCGGCCGATGGGTACAGATTATTATTCTTTATACCTTGTATATACATGTTTGTGTATTTTTGTAGGTATGAAATCATTTTTTAAAAAGGACTGAAAAATATGAATGACTATAAAAATGAAGACTACTATTTATGTATAACAATAAGATTAGTGTAAAAAAGTATACAAAGAAAATGTTTAATTCTTTTTTGTCTTTCAGTGCCCTATACTATCAGTGTTAATCTAAAAGGGCCCTAATCCTACCATGAAAAAAAAATAAATAATAACAAGCAGAGTCTTTAACTGCTTTGACACAAAAGCTGAACATCTGGTACTCTAAGTTATACGAGAAAGCGTAAATGTGTTAGCCACTTATGTCTGATTCCTCTTTCATCTGTACTTCGATTTTTCTTTATCTTTGGATTTTTTGGGACTCCTGCTTCGGTCTCTCTTTTTGCTCCTTTCTCGTTCATAGGGATCTGTTTGGTATTTGGATTTGTGACTATTACTATAGTGGCCATCCCTTTCTCGAGATCGGCTCCGACTTCGGTTTTGAGGTCGGTCTCTCTTTTCACTCTTTTGTTTCTCCCAACAACTTTCTTCTTCTTCATAGTGACCAAAGCCCATTTCCCTGTAGATATCCTGTCAAAGGAATAAAGAGTTGTAAGTGAATCAGTAAAATAATCATTTTGTAGGCACTGTCAATTAATAAAACTTAAATAAGTCCCCATTAGCAAGCAGTTTTAACAGCTCAGATTTGAACACTACCACTAATGCCAAGAATCTTGTAAATTAAAAAGCAAAAATAACTCAGAAAAAGACTTCACCATTTTCTCATCCATCTCATTACTGTGTACCTATTATTTCAGCTGACCTGAAGGATCAGATCTAAAAACAAGGAACTGAAATAGCCCAATTGAAATAAGAAGTCTTTGGGGCAAAATTGCAATACAAAGAATTCTGGCTGTGTATGGTCACCTCTCTATCTCTCCCTTCTCCAATTCCCAAAAACGTGGCTCCATCACTGGTCTGCAATGAAACTACTAATATTCCCAGAAGAATCCCACAAAGAAGACATCATTTAAATAACATAGCTAGAAGAGGTTTTAGACAAATCAGTCTAAAAAGAAAACAGATTCTGAATACTTTGGTCTGAGCAATTATTTTTAAAGTGTTGATTTAATAACAGCTCCTCTCTAAATCTTCAGATAAATTTTTTTATTTAAACTAAGCTAATAGATGTTTTTATTAAAAAATCAGTATTTATATACTTTTTTAAATGAGTTAAGAAACACTGAAATAATCTATTGCCCCAAAGACTATCCAGTGGGTACATTTGGTTCTATTCTTAATAATTAAGTAGCAGTAGTAACTTTTCCATATAGAAAAGGGCTAGTTACAACCATTCTATCTCTGTCTTATCTCTAATTAAAATCAATATCTTAGCAAGTGGCTGAAACTGAAAGAGATCAGAGCCAATGCTCTTTCAAGAACAATTCAAAAAGTTCAATTTTCTTAAAAGATTTCTCAAAGGAAAGGCAAAATTCTAAGGACTGAACTCCCAAGGGTCCCAACTCTGTCACCTAAGACATTATTATAGCAGATGTGAATGTCAAGGTTTAAAATCCAGAGTGGCGATATCCAAGGTCAAGGACTAGGTTTTAAGCAACAGATTCATAATTGTTCCATATGCTGTCTAGATACCACACATTATGGCTGGCAGAGAGACTGCAGTGTGTGAAAACAGATCTAACATGATTATTATAATCAGTGTTTATGGAACACCTCATTAGAAACTGATTCATGATTTCCCACACAATTCCAATAGTTCTTGTCATTCTGTAAGAGTCCTAGAGGTAATAAAATGAGTAGGTATTTTAGTTTGACCTTTTACCAACTATTTTTGAGCAAAATGTGACATCCCTAGGTAAAAGAATTATTTTGTGCTTCCTGTAATATGTATGAAATGTAAATATCCATGTACTATTCTGACTGTATACCTACTACTTATTTCTGTACTGGTTGAGGGGGGAAAAACTTTTTAAATGGAGAGACGTATAATCTATAAAGTCTTCAGCACATTAGTATACAAATAAGCACTTGAGTGCTTTGAGGGTTTAAAATAAGAAAGAGAGAGAAAAGATTACACAGTACTTAATTCTTCAAAAAAATTTGAGGAAGGTGAAAATCTGAAATGGACTGAAACCTTACAACCTCTCCTACTTGGTATAGTTTTCAAAGCTACACTAGCTTTGAAGTCGGGCAGCTCTAGGTTCAAATGGTCTTTGCCATTCAGGAGATGTGTCAAACAAGAAAAAATCTTGAGGTTAGCTTTATCAGGGAAGGTTTCATAGAGAAGTTATAAAATGCCTGAAATGAGCCTCAAAGATAAATGGGTTAGGGTTTGGACTGGCTGCGAGAAGGCTAACGCAAGGAGTCGAAGTGAAAACCAGAAAGCAAGGTTTAGCACTGTACCCATGAAGGAGAAAAGTTAAGCAATATTAGAAAGACCCTCTACGTATGTGCTTGCACAGTGCTAAGTGCTTCTGGAGTACAATATTATCCTGACCGTGGAGATAAGGAAACCGAGACTGAGGAGATCCACATAAGTTGTAGGTAATTATTTAACTGATTAGTAACTTTTCATATAAAATTGAAAAGGGCATGGTACAGAGTAGTGAAAAACCCCCACACCTGACTAAATCAAAGTAAACATTAAAGTTCCAGCAGTCCCACTGAACTACAAGGCCCATGGGCCTAGGGGCCAGAACCTTCGTATCTAAGTTGAGGGAAATGAATCAGATGAACTCTAAGTCCTTTCCAGCATGGACTTCTAAAAATTTTTATCATTTTATACATTTCAGACATAAGACAAGATGATTAAACCAGCACGCAACTGAAAAAAAAAAAAAGAAAGAACCATAAAATGGCCAATTTAAAGCAATCAACTTAACCTAGCCAATGATTTCATACACAGTAGTCACAAAAAATTTTTAAAAATTTAAAAATCAACCAAAAGCGGTCCTTGCTGAGGTCCCTGGGAATAAGTCAGAGATTTAGTTACGCCTAAAACACTAACATTAAGTGATTAAAATGACAACAAAAATAGAGTCCCAAATTATAAGAATACTGACACCTATGAAAACCACAGAGGACAGCCAGCCAGTCTGAGTACTTCTCAGCCAGGCAACCCACAGCTGAGTACTCACTTCCTGTAACCTCACTAGAACCCAAACCTCAACAACACAGTAACCAACCACCTTGGAATTAAGACATGAGGTGGAAAAATTAAACAGAGATTTTGAATTGAACAGTAAGGCTGTCATTCAATAAAAAACAAAGAACGTGAAGAAATCTAAGTTAAAACATTCTTAGGAAACTAAGCTCACCAAGAAAAAAGGCCAACAAATAGGAAAATTTGAGCCATATCTGAAAATTACATAGCACTGAAAACTCCCTTTAATGATTATATATTCTTGAGACTAAAATCAAAGGGCTAAAAATCAGAATAATAGAAAAAGTCTACACCCACTGAAATCTTAAATATGGATGCTGTTTTATTAGAAAGAAAATGAGTACAGCTGCATTATTAAATTGAAGTATAAAGTCAAAAAACATTTGCTTTAAGATACTTTGAGGGGACAAATAAAGTTAGGAGATTATTGCCAAAAGAGAAGGCCATTTGCTACTGTAAAGTTTTAAGCAATCAAACAGTAAGATAAAAAAGATTCACAAAAAGGCAGGGGTGAGAGGATGGGAACCACAGGCTTAAAATGCAGCCAGTCTTCGGATTATCTCAAACACACAAATGTGTATCACTGACGAGTCCATGTACAAGTGCAGGATGAGGAGCTGTAGCTAAAAGGAACATATGCGGCAGGGGGAGGTGAACGGTCTGTGGGAATGAGGATTTTTACTGGAAAACATGCTAAGTATTGATAGAAATGTGATATAGCCACCATTAAAAAAGACTGAGGTGATCTTTGGCTAATAGAGTATAAAAATTGAGAGAGAGATGTTCCTTTTAGATCACACTGGAATTTTATACTATGGGACAAATTATATTAGAATTAGCTGGATTTAGGAAAGAAATCTGCTGTAGGAAAGAAATCTGCTGACAGGAACACATCCCAGGTAAGAGCAGCAGCAGAACAGATAGGGGTGCAAGTCTGAATTTAACTTGTGGTTCCATTACATGTTAGCTGTGTAAAACCATGTGCAAGTAGCTTAACCACTTTACTTTTTTAATTTCTTTGCTGTGAATGGAGACAACAGTACCCACCTCGTATTGTAAGGACACAGAAGTTGTTAGCTATTACTGATTCATGTGAGGATTACTTGAAAGACTGACAAGGGTGTAACTTAAAAACTGAAAGCAGGGCATGATGGATGGGAATCTTTGAACAGCAAAAGGGCTATGGAAAGAAGAGAGACTGGATCTCTGCTGGACGACAGCAAGGAGCAGGAAGATACACTGTCTAGAAAACTGGGGAATAAGAATATATATAAAATATGCACTTGCTGAGATTTTTTAAATAAAAAATAAACCATAGAACATATAAAACGGTCAGCTTTGGGGAAAGATGAAAAAGGGGAAAGGACAGGAATATAAGTTGGTTCTCTGTAAGTACTATTTTGTAGATTTTACTTTGGAACAGTACAGTCTTTAAAACTCCAAAACAAAAATTTTAAAGCAATCCTTAAACATAGAAAATAAACAAACTGACATATGAATCCAGTTAATGGCCTTACTACAGACAGAAACTATTTCAAATGATTTAAAACATAATAATTTGACTATAATAGTAAAAGTAATAGTAACAGCCAGTGTAGGAAATGTTTGCACACACATTTTTTTTTCCACTTAATCTTAACGATGTGCCTGGGAGATAAATATTATCTTGATTTCACAGAAGAGGAAACTGTAACCCAAGAAAGTTAGAAAACTTGATGAGGTAGCAATGTAGAAACCTAAACTTGGCTTTTCTGACAGCAAATCCTTTACTTTGCCAACCATACTCCATCTCTCCACCTCTGCGTCTTTACTTGACATTCTCATCGTCCTGCGTTCCCTCTGCCTCTTCATCTACCAGGGCCAGTTCAAACGTCCTCAGGTGGCAAAACCAAAGCAAGGAGCTGTAATATAATCTGCTGTTCACTTAACTGAGAGCCAAAATGCAGGCTGGAAATGACTCTTCTCTTTGTAATTAATTTCCTTTGGGGAATTTTTAATTATCGTCTCAGAAAATGTATTGTTCAGGAACGGTTTGAGGATGATCAGGTCAGTTCTGAGTGCTGCTTTTATTTCATATATAGAGTATAGAAGGACATAGATGGTATTCAGGTCCTAAAACTTCAAGAGCTGTAAGTGCTGTACATAACACTTAATGATAAATTAATACGATGAATTAGAAGAACTTTTTTTAGCATAACCATACTTGTTTTTGATGGGGAGTAAGTGTCCACAGACATGGAAATCACTCTTGCTTCACAATGTGGAACTATATGATACGTTAAGTCACTCTGAAAACAGTATTTTATAATTTGTTATATTATATTCTTGAAAATTAAAGTTCATTACCCTGGTGAAACCACTTGACATCTTAGTTAGGAACACACCCATCCCTATTCAGAACTGTATACTCTTACCTCCTACATTACATCATCAGGATGTAATTTACAAAGGGATAAGGTACTTATTTCTCTACCGCTAAGTCAGGACATCAGTAAGCACCTGATTAGTATTTTTGATTGGCATGTAGTCCTCATCTTCTTTTTCTTCAGAGCAGTGATGGGTTTTCTTCTTGTGTTTTTTACTTGTGTGTGAGTGACTTGATTTTGAGTCTTCTGCCTGGTCCTCTAGTACAAGATCATATTTTGCACTGTAGCAGCTAGTTAAGGAAAATGTGAGAACTGACACTCAAAACAAAGAATCTGGTAAACAAAGGAGGCCAGGAAGCTAAAGGTAAACTTTTAAAGCAGTAAGTATCTCAGAAGCATAGAGTATGTTTTTAAAACAAAACTAACTCATATTTTACTTCATTACATAGTCAGGAAAAATGGAAAGAACCCTAATCTTAAATAAAGAGTTATCAATTGCTAAGTGGGCAAAAAATATGGAGAGGAAAAAAAACTGTGTTCACAAATGAAAATATAAGTAGCATAAAAAATAAGGAAACATATTTGTCAATAATGAAAAAACTTAAACTTAGAAAATGAGGAACATTTTTAACCAGAAAAAATTAAGACATTACAAATCCCAATGCCAGAAAAGGTATAAAAGATGAAAAATATATTCATGTGACTCTTCTTCTGAGTGTAAATTTGTTCAATCTTATAGGAGAAAATTTAGAAATACATATCAATAGTTATATTTAAATTCAAATACAAATTTACCAAAAAATTAAAATAACACTAAGTTAAATGAACACAGGTACAGCTGTCCCTCATTATCCACAGGGGGCTGTTTCCAGGGCTCCCTGAGGACACCAAAAGCCACAGATACTCAAGTCCCTCATATAAAATGGCACAGTGTCTGCTTATAACCTACACTTGTCCTCCCTTATACATTAAATCATCTCTAGGTTACTTATAAAACCTAATAAATGTAAATGCTACATAAACAGCTGCCTGCACAGGGAAATTCAAGTTTTGCTTTTTGGAACTTTCTCGAATTTTTTTCCCAAATATTTTCAACCTGCAGTTGGTTGAATCCATGGATGTGGAACCTGCAGATGCAGAGGGCCGACTGCATACATAATAGGATTATTTTTAATAACAGAAACTCGGAACAATAAACAGCCTAGTAATAAAGATATACTTAAATACTGCAGAGTATTTCCACATGATATTATTATGATAAAGGAAGTATTAACAATGACAAATGAGTCCTATGAAGTAACCTGGAAAGGTGCTTATGAAAAGTTAAAAGTAAAAAAAGCTTGAAGCAAAAACTATATATACCATATAGTGATTATAACTTTTCAACTTTATAAAAGAGCACAGCTTGAAAGAAACAAGGAGAAATAAAAAGTTTCATTTGTGTAGGAAGTAGAACTGTAAGTCAATAAATTTCACACGAATATGTTATAAAAATTATAATACATGTTTTAATTTAGAAATAAGTGTTTTTTCTAATACACTATAATGTCTTAGAATAAGAGAAAATGTAAAACTATTACAACCTCTGCTAAAAATAATCTCAAACTCTGAAACAGATTCTGAGGAAGGCTGACAAGGACTAGAATAGTGGTTTTCAAAAGAAAGCTCAGGAGGAAGCCCAAAACACAGAGCTATTTCAGTGGCGTGTGGGAGGGACTAGAGTAAAAGCAGACATACTTCCCCCGGGACAAGAGCTTCACAGCTGTTTTCACGCTGCCAGGTCTGTGCTTCCAGGGATGCCTCAGTTCTGTACAAGATTCAACAGGAAAACACTGCACCTCCTGGCTTTTCACAAGATGGCTCACAATGGCTACTTAGCCTGCATCATCCTATTATTATTATTGTTGTTGTTATTTAACCTTTGTGCACCATCCTATTATCACTCCATTATCTCCAATGTTTCTCCTTTATACTGCGTCCCAGCATTTCCACAGTACCTGCTGGAAGTTTTCCTTTTTCAGGTGTGAATTCAAAAGCCCTTGCTTATGACTTCACCTCAGTATATGCCTACACATGCTGCTCCCTGTCTAAAGTGCTTCCAAGTGGTGTTTTTCAAACAGCTGATAGTAATCCACCAGTGGGGTGCAAAATCTATTTAATGGGTCACTAAAAGCCACCATTTTAAAATAACATAGAATAGACAATAGAGGGGGGAGGGATACAGCTCATGCTTAGCATGCATGGGGTCCTGGGTTCAATGCCCAGTACCTCCATCAAAAAAAAAAAAAAAAAAGGATAGAAAATACAGTACATGGCACCTAATAAAAATATTTTTTATGACATTTTGGTTGCAATTATGTGTGTGTGTGAATGATTCACTTGGACTATACTGGGTCAAGATTTAAACTTTATTTCTTAAATAATGGATCACAGTGAAAGGAAACAGTATCTCACCTCAGCCCTCCTCTCCACCATATTCAAGCTGCAGCTTTAATGTCACTACTTATAGTATGACTTAAGGATCCTCTGACTTACCCCTACTATACGTTCCATATCCAACAAATGTACTTCCTTGCAACACTACAGACATATATAATTAATAGTGATTATTTAATGTCTATTCTTCCTCCAACTCCAAAATAAAACACAAGGTCCCTCTGAGCAGGGGTTATGTTTCACTGCTAAATTTCACTGGGCATGTAACAGATGCCAAATAAGTGTCGGCTGAATGCTTGTAACACCACCAACACACTTGTTATATCTCTTCCTTCCTCACTTATCCACTATCTTCTACTGACCATTATAATCAAGACTTTTAGAAGATGTCAAATTGCTCCAAAATCCTATGAATTAAATACAACTTTGCGATTTCCCTGACCTCTTTTCCCCCATTACTTCCCTGAGGTCTAGTCCAGCCAAGTTAAACTTCCCTCTTCTGTTTTTGAATTCTCTTAATAACAGTTCTACAGCAATTTCTCTTTCTGTCAAGACCTATAAAGTACATCCCATGCCTTTCTAAGTAATTTATCTGTACTCAGACTATCCTCAGAATCCCCTTTCCTCACCAGAGTAACAAAGTAACATGTAAAAAAAAATATGTTACATATTAAAATATATGTTCTGTCCCTCTAATATTGTACCTGAGATTATAAACGAAACCTATCAATTACTGAGAACATAAAGAGCATCAGTAGGATGATGATCAGGGTAAGACTCAGGGATTCCTCTCTCTCAGTGTTCTGTTTGAGAGGGGTTAACAGTGGTTTGCACCAGGACATGTCTGTCTTCTCCATCAACTTCAAAAAGTTAAAAGCAGCACTGTTCAAACTAGCCATATGTACTGGTTTAAATTTAAATTAAGTAAAACTAAGCAAATTTCAAAATTCAGTTCCTCAGTCCATGTCACAAGTTCAATAACCACATGTGGTTAGTGGCGATACAGTACATTTCCATCACTGCAGAAGTTCTGTTAGACAGCCCTGGGCTAGAGATTTATTCTCAAACATGACTAGTTCCTTTCTTAACTCTTAGTTATCATCTTGAATTTAAATCTTGAATTTAAATCTTGAATTTAAAACGCTTTAATCCTAGATATTCTTTCTTTTCAGCCTGAACACCCTATACGGGGGAAGGTGCCTCCTCCTTTATACTCCACGACCGGACTTCCTTCCATTTGCCCTGCACATTCCCCTTCTTCCAGCTGCAGTTACTCGTGGTTGGCCTCAACTTAATTTCAAAGATTTGGTGAATAAATTTCAAGTGTATTCCACCCATACCTTTTATGATTCTAAGATTTCAATCCTACCCCTCACTAATGTTCATCTTTTCAGTCCAATCTTTTGTTTTCTGCTTGTTCTGTCCGCATGTGAAACCTCTCCTCATGCTGATTATGTCAGTATACTCCACACTTACTCCAGCTCTAACACCTTACAATGCTTTATGCATTGCAGGCAGCCAATACATTAAAAATATGTATCTAACAGGTCAACCTGATATTCATCTTTCCTTGATAAATACTTGGGAAAAAAATGTCTATATAGTATGGGAAAAGAGAATCCCTAAAACACCAACAGAAACCAGGAAACAAAGAAACCATTTACCAGAAAGAATCACAAAAGAAATAACCTTTGCCATGT